CCTGCAGGCCGCCGCCTTCCCGCCAATAGCAGCGCCGCTGCCGCTCGCCCGCCCACCGCGCGGCACCCCGCCGTACCGCCGCTCGGGCGCAAGGGCCAATCGCGACCGGCAGGAGGCGGGGCTATGACGCGGACAGCCAATCCTGAGGCAGGAAGGGGAGGGCGGGCGGACGAGCCAGCAAGCGTAGGTGCAGCGTGTGGGAGCGGCGGTGTGAGGCGAGCGGCGAGGCGGGGAGGTGTGAGGCGCGGGCTGGGGAGGCCCGGGAGGGCTGCGGGGCTCGGTGGAGGGCGGAAAGGGAGTTTGGGAGTCTTGGGGGCTTGTGGGGTCTGCTTGCGGCTGCGTGAGGGGATAGGGACGGGTGGGGTGAGTAGGGAGCTTCTGGGGGAGCTGGGCCGGCTGTGGAAGGGAGTAGCGGTTATAGCAGCTGAGCCCTGCTCGAGGCCTTCCTCCGCTGCTGTCTCTGCTCGGTTGTCTCTTCCGCTGAGAATAAAATGTGTTTACAGTGTATCTTGCTATCCCAACCTTGTGTTGTTCCTTTCTCACTTGGGGCACTCCTTTACACTTCAGACCCTGATCCCTGAGGCTCTCTTCCCTGGGTAGTTGGGCAGTTCTGATTTGCCAGCTCAGCAGTTGAACTTGTAATTAAGATTTCTCATTGCCTCTTTGGCATCGGGGTTCTTGGCGAAACATAGTGTTCAGCCAGAATAACCAGAGGGGGGAAAGCATAAAGTTGTAGTAATTAAAAGAAATGAAAGAGGCCTCAGATATAACCTGCAGTTAATATTGGAGAAGACTAAAATTCTAACTGGAGAGTAGTGGAATTGGCTTAAAGTGCAAGTATTCCTGGTGTATCCCTTTTTGAATTCCTATATGAGCTGGGGTTTTTTTTTGAGGAGATGAGGAGTTGGTTTGGTGGGGTATTTTGTGTGTGGCCTACTATAATCATGAGTGTTCAAGTTCGCATAAGATATATAGCTTATTTCTGTAATACTGTAGTAAGGATCTCCAAGTGATCAGATTTAGTCATCTTATTAGAATGATATTTATTTATTACCCTTATGTTTACCTATAAAGGGTTACATAGCATAATGAGTGAACTTAATAGCGATTAATTATTGGACTGTAAATAATAAAAAAGCATTTCTTATATCTTCACCATAAGATAACAATTACTGTTATATGTCTTGCTTTGTCATACTTGATAGGGAGTTCAGAACTTCCTACAAAACTTTGTGTTTTTTCCTAAGTTGTGACTTAAATTTCAGTCATATTTCCTTACTTACACTGAATTTAATCAGTGAGGTAAGAAAAGAGATAAAATTTACATTTGGTGTCCCCAGTAGTTTTATTCAGGAAGTTGGTAAAGTTGTCGTGAATAGAACAGGTTATTACAAATTTCAGCAAACTTTATGCTAGTGAAAGAGAAAAGCAGCCTAAATGTGTGTGGATTACAGCTCCCAAGATGCTACAGTTAATGTTAGGCTGCTGACCAGCACTCCCCCTTTAAGTCTCATCCTGAATCAAAACAAGAAAAATAGTAAAACTCAACAGTAAGGGACAGTCAGTTGGGTGGGGCTTTGAAACACAATTATGAGAATATCAGGAGGTGCTTGAACTCTCAAGGGTCAGGAATTTAATTTGACACACAGTTTGATTCTCTGTTTCTTTAATGAGCAAGCTTTATAATTTTGTTGTGCAATTAAGAAATCTGAAGGTTTTTACATAAGTTAAAATAATACAACTTTGAAATACAGTTGCTAGCACTAGGAAGATAAATATAAATACTGATGTTTCACTAACTACCTCATAAAGTCAGTGCACCTTGATTTTGTATTATGAAATCTTTTAAAGTTAATGTGTTATCATGATTTCCAGTATGTGGCACTAATACTCAAGGTAGAGTTGTTTGCGGAGGAGGATTAATTGCAGATGGGAAAAGCAGTTCAGAAAATTTGGAATTACAGTGCCAGAGGATCTTCATTTAGCTCCTGCTTGTACTTTATTTTGTAGTACTGTTTCATTGTATTCATATGATAATTGACACTTTAAACCAGATCCTGCTTTCTGCATAAGAGCTGCTTATGATTGTTTTGCAAACCAGAAACAAACGCAGCTTTTTGCTGCTTTATCTTTCTTCAGTATTCAACACAGAAGAATTCCCGGTGATGCCATCAGAAAATGTGTGCTGGGGTAAAGAGGCTTGTGGCTGTGTGAGGCATGGAGAGAGGGCGTGCCTGTGCTTGACTCATCTTTACTGCTCCAGTGGTTGATCGGGACCGATAGTAAGAACTGCAAGGTAACGTGCACTGGAAATCATGCTGATATCTAGAAGTCGCAGGATTTGACTAGCATAAGGAAATAAAGCCAAATCTGTGTAATCCTCAAGAAGCCTGGAGGATATGGGGAAGGAAATGCAAACTGACAACTGTCTAGGTCTTACTTTTCTCTGCCTTGCTCTTCTATAGGCATTTACATGCATGGAAAATGTGTAGAACATCACTGTGGTTTGATAACATTTTACAGTGACTTTGCTTTACAGCAGTGTGGATAACCCTACAGAGTTCAATGCAGAAGAGAAGTAGACTCCAAGCATCTTTTTTTCAGCAGTCCAGCCTCGCTTAAAGAGACACAAATCTAGGATTATTTCAGTGAATTCCTTCACATCATCCTATGTTTGCATAAGAGCAGGTGAAATCTAGAGTTTTGCCACCACTGTCCATAAAGTACCCAAATACTTTTGAGGTTTTTGAAGTATTTTTACTTAGTTTTGTCAGAAGCAAGGATTATAAAATCAAAGCAGTTAGAAACAATTAATATATCTTATCTAGGTTCCTGTGTTGGTACAAATGGCCATAGTGTCTTGGCAGGAGTTGCAGGTGTAGGTATAATGCAAACCATGTGCTTTTCATGGGAATATCACATAGTGATTTGCCATATGTGACATTGTATATAATAAATCTAGAGCCAGATACTAACATAAATTGTCCACATGAATAAACAGAAGAATCTTTTTAAAAGTGAAGCATGAAGCAAGACACCAAATGATGATACTTATTAGTAAGCAGAAGTTTGTTTAATTGGTGACAATCTGGAGAATCTGAAGCTTCCTGATAGTGCTTTGAGGTTTTTAAAAGTTCATTAAGATGGAATTGTTTCAAGCAAGTGCATTCACCTTTTTGGTAATATAAAGCGATGTAGAAAGTGATGCATATGTCAGGCCGAGACTGAACAGAATGATTTTTTTGTTTCTCAACAAGCTGCACTTCCCCATTGGGTGGCTGTTGGCCCGTTGCTTTTGAGCAGTGCCATACAACTGCCAGTCAATCTCCCAGGCTGCAGTGCCAGCTTTGAGATGTGGAGCAGACTGGCTGTGACAATGGGTTATTCATAATGTCTAGTGTTCCTCCCTGTTTCTTGATTGCAAAATATATGTTAAAGGTTTTATTTTTCCTATTTTCAGAAGAGGTCTTAAATGTTTCTGTGAACTTTAAAAGCATCTGTAGATAATAAAATAATCACTAATATTCACTCAAGAAGTCTTTATGATCTCTCAACTTTCTACTTTCTTTGCTGAAGTACTTGGGTACTTTGTAAATTTTAATACTGCCCAGCCTTACAGGAATGCTGCGAGTATAAATATGCTATCATCCTTCTGCAGAGGAACAGCTAGAACACAAACTAAATGCTAAATCTCACTAAGGGGCATCACATTTGCCGTACCTGACCTTTAGGTTTTTACCTCAGACTGGAATCCAAGCACTGAATTATATTTCATATAAAATGTACTAAAGACAGACACCTTCAACCTGCATTTGTGACAACATAACCACTGCACAGGATGTTTGGGCTTAGTGGTTGAAAGTGCTGAGGAGAGGAGATATGTCTGACATCTGTCTGTGACTCCACTAAGGCAGTCATGGGGTTATATATTCCAGAATCTTCTCTTGGAGCTGGTGTGTTGCTGTTGTCCTTTCGTAAAAGACCCATGACTCACTCTTACTTTAGAACACGATGGAAGGAAGAGGTGATGGTGTTTGCTGTTAATATGCAGTCAACTTTCTATCACCTATAGATTGCCTGACTAGTTTTTAGAGAAGTGGGGGGGGAAGAGAATGCATGCTGACATTCCAGCTGACTGGCTGGAATAATAGTGGCCAGGATACACTGGAGAATGGGGAAGAAACCCACATAATAGTGCTGCTTTATTGCTCTGAACTGTAAGCGGTCCCTGTGAAACCAAATTGGAAGACTCTGGACTTCTTTCCTTGTTTAGCTCAGGCATATTATGAATTCCCAGACCCATATTAGGTGTGAAGGTGGTACAGTAACATTTGCCTGGAACTGGTTTTGAGGTAATAGGTCTGTTGGGCTAAGCCAGCTCTGGCCAGAACTTAAATGTGCCTGTATTGTGCTTCTCAAATGTCTCTTGTGTACATATGTCTCATTTGGCTCAGATTTAGCAGAATTTACTGTTTCAGGCTTAGTACTTGGTCTATAGTCACTTTGGATTCTTGCAGGGCTTATTTGCTTGGCAGCTGGGCCAAACCTGACCTGGCTCGGTACCTCTCATCTGTAGAAACAAAGCTACTTAGAGTTCAGAAGCCAGCTCAGCCTGATAAGCAGATCTTTGTGTCAGCTGAGCCTTACCATTTTATGGGGCATTTTGATCCTCTGTGCTTCCCACTACTAGAATGGAAATTTGACTGTAACAGCAGAGCAGGTAGCATGGAGTACAGATCTCCTGTTCCTTGGTCAGATGCTCTGTCTTTGGCCTCGCAAGGTTCAAATTCCTACTGTCAACTTCCAGGAGAGTGCTGTGTTGCCTTACTAGCAGTTTCAAACTGTGATACCATGCAGTTAAGAATCATGGCTCTGTGCAGCCAGAGGTAAGGAATCTGAACGGAGAGCCTGCTGATTAACATACTCCTCTGAGGGAGAAGAGCCCCCAGTCCCTGTTTCTGCCTCCACATTCTTTATTGGGTGCAGCAAGGCAATCTTGGGAGTAGAGCTGTAAGGGTGTGCTAATCAGTGATCTTCTAGAGGTCGTGACAGTTTTTGTGTTACCTTTTTGGAACCCCATTAGGCTTGGAATCTTGGCCTATTTTACTTCAAAAAGCTGTTTTCATTTCACATTTGGAAATGTGTGTTGTGAGGGGGAGGTTTTGGTGTAACCGTGTCTATTCTGTGCAATATTTGGTCCACCACCAGGAGAGGGCACAGGCAAAGCTGGAGGAAGAGGCAGTGGCAATCAACATCAGTGTATCAGGTTTTAGATTATGAACTAGAGTAGCTTTATTTCTGCTGAGTTTCTGAAAACAAGGTATTGGCTTGATTTTTGAGATTATGTATTATTGTCTCACAAAAAAAAGAGATAGTTATAAACTTCATTAAATGGTAGTGAGAAAAAATAGTAGTATATTTCCTGGATGGGCATCTTTGCAAAGCAATTGTCACTTTTTTCCCTGAATTCATTCAGGTCATTACTATGACAAGTATGTACTTTTATCATCCAAAAGAGTATGAAGAGCAATGCAATTGCACTGCAGCAAGAAGTCTGATGCAGAAAAGGGTGTGCTTTGATTCAGAAGACACTGATTTATATGGGGAAGCTTAGGATTGCAGTGCTTTATCTAAATATTTATCCACAGAAAATCTGTATTCTAGAGCAGTCACGCTGCTACTGTTAGAAAGTATCAGCTGCTAAATTACAGCATCAGCACACATCTGTATTGATATGCTCCATTTGAAAAAGTCCTTGAGGTGGTAGATAAGATCTTTGCATAATTTGATGATCGTTGCTGTATCAGATAAGTTCATGGCATTTTTAGTAACTGTTGTAAGAATTCTGATTTTTATATCACATGTAGATTTGTAATCCCTTTTTTCTTCCACTTATGTGGTTATCCTGGAGTCTGATTCTTCTCTCACCACTATTACACTGGCACAGTGTCTTTTATTTCAGTGCAGCAGAAGTGTAGCCAAGAGCTGCATCAGGCCCAAGACATCTTCCCTGCAAGTGAAACTGAGAGGAATCAGTGTTTCCAAGTGTTGTCAGGAAAAGATGTGGTACACTGCAGAACTTGACAAGATCTGCAGATGATGAGCTTTCCTTGAGTCCTGATATGTCATCTTACATGTGTGGGTAGTCTTCATTATTTACTCTTCTATATGAAAATTAGCTATGGCATAGGGAATACTGGCCAGGAGGGTGGTCAGGGATGTTCTTCCTCACAGGACATAAGCAGCATGTAAAAGCACCACTCCATGACAGTCTTGGTATTTTGTATTTATTAGTTTCTTGAACCTTTTAGCTATAGAGGGCTTTTAGGAGGAGAATTTTATTATCAGTCACGATACTTGTTTTCTTTGAACAATCAAGAAAGATAGAGATAGAAACTGTCTAGCACTGTGGGATGCTTGTGGTAGGGCAGAACTACTGTGAGCAAGTCCCAGGTATTTATAAACTAGTGCTTTGAGGAAACTGATTTTATGCTACCGTTTTGATTGCTTCCACAGACGATAAAGTTGCAGCGTAAGCTATGATATATTAGTTGACAACAGCTAACCTGTCTAGAACACAGACTGCATGAATATCTTTATCTTCGTTAGAGCTTTGATCAGAAATTTTTGCTTTTTGAATCACACAGAAAAATCCAAACATGAAACACAACTGGAGGAAACCAGACCTTTTAAGCTACATTGCTCAGAAGCTGCCTCTTTTCAATGGCTTGTTTAGATCTGTCTTAAACAAAGTTGTAAACACAGTTTCTCTGTGTATACTAGTGCTTTCATGCTCGCTGGTGCAAGCGCAGGGATAACCAGTCCTAGGCACTTAAGATCTCTGTTGCTTACTAGAAACTGTAGTGCTGTATGGATCCTGAGGTTGTGTCACCTACCAGAAGCATTGTTTGGTTTGCTTGGTAACTGATGGTTAATCTGAACTACCGGCTCGGAAAGTAAATCAGCAGAGACTGCAATTGTTGTCACCACCATTGGTGGCCTGTATGACCTTGCCTTGTCT